TCCCTCCCCAGGTCCCAGGGCTCCCCCAGGGGTGGGTGGGTGGAGGAATCCAAAGCTGGTCTCCACTGTGGGTGACCATGGTGGGGGAGAGGTTGTCGCTGTCCCCCAAACAACAGCTGGGAGGGGAAGGGGGGGCACATTCCTACAGCTCCACCCACACTTTTGATCTCGATCCCCCTCGCCACATGGCCGGGCTCAATGTCAGCGTCACCAGGGGAGGGGGGAGATATCGGCCGGACGCCTGAGTCCTATGGCTCACATGCCCCAATCCCATCCCCGCCCACAATCTCCTCCCCCCCGCTCCCCCAGGCAGGGGTCTCCCTCCCACTCCCCACGTCACAGCCTCTTTCTTCACACCAGGATGTTTGGAAACATTTCCTGGCATCCGGGAAATCCCATTATTCCCGCCCTCCCCACCCCTTCTCCTCCCCCCCGGCACCCCATAACCCCTCCCTCCACCACCCCATAACCAATCCCCGCACCCCTTCCTCTCCCCCTCCCCTGTACCCCAAAACCCTTGCCCCACCCCACAGCCCCTCCTCCCCCCAGCACCTCATAACCCCCACCCCCTCCTCTGCTCCCCGGCACCCCCAAGCCCCCCTTCCCCATAGCTTCCCCTTCCCATCCGTATGTGTGTGTGTGGCGGGGGGGGGGGACTGGGTTCCGCCACCCGATGAGGAAGTTGCAGACGCCGGAGCGGGGGAGACACAAAGGGAAGGACAAAATGAAAGAAAAAGCTGCCGGGGGGGGGACCCCATGTTTCAGCCCCGGAGGGGGACCCCATGTCTCAGCCCCCCCCCCAGGGGGGGCTTGCTGGGCTTTCGGCCCCCGACCCAAGAGCAGAGCCCCCCGCCGGGGGGGAGAGGCGGATCAGAGGCCCCCCCCCCCCAGCTGAGCCCGGGCCCCCAAACTCTGCCGGGCCCTCGCATGGGGCTCCCCCAAACCCAGTGACCCCCCCCCCCCCCCCCCCCGCACACCGCACCGCCCCCCCCCCCCTCCCCCAGCCCCCCCTCCCGATCCCCTTCCCCACCCCGCGATCCCCCTCCCCTTCTTCAGCCCCCCGCGATCCCCCCCCCCGTGCCCCTCACCGCGCCGCGGGCCGGACGCACCGTGCGCTGCGCTCTCGCCGCCTGGCCACGCGGTTCTGTTTGCTCTGGGCCTGGCTCGGCCGGGAGGGGGAGGGGGGTTCCCCGCCTCTCCTCGCGTCACTGACCATATAAGGAGATCCTGGGGCCGTGGGAACTTCCCGGCCCTCGCCCCTCCCCTCCCCTCCCACATACCCCAAGCGGGGGCACTGGGGGGCGGGGGAGCAAAGGGGGAGGGGAGACGTGACAGGGGCGCAGGGGGACGGAGAGACTCCCCAAACTTCCCTCTCCCCCTCCCCCCGACTGACCCCTCCCCCGCTCCAGGGGGATCCAATTCACCCCAGGGTCCTGCCCCAGCACCCGCTATTTACAGAATCACAAAAATGTCCAGCTGCCCTGGGGCACCGGGGGCCAGCCCTGAGCACCAGGGGAGACCCCCCCACCCCGCCCCCAGCAGCACAGCGCCCCCCAGTGCCACCCCGGGGCATCGGGCCAGCTCTGACCGCCAGGAGCGACCCCCCTTTTGCGGCCGAGACAGAGACTCCCGGCTCAGGTTGGAATTTGGGTTTATTCTGATCAGAAAATTGATGGTGCCAGTCTGGGGTGCTGAAGCAGAGGCGAGTCCAGGGCCCAGGCCGGGTGCATCAGGGCCAGCCCATGGCCCAGCGACAGATGCCCCTGTGGGGAGAGAGAGAGGGAAGATGGGGGGACGGGGAAGGAGCGCATAGAGCGAGTGAGAAGGGAGCCATAGCAGAGGGAGGACAAGACATTGGAGGAAGGCCACCCCCAGCCCCCACCACACTGCCCTCTCTGCGTGTTGCTCCTGGTGCCTGGATGGAGGGGGGCTGGACCGAGCTGGGACCCAGAAGGGCAGTGGGGGGCTAGGGGCTGGGCAGGGTTTCCCCCCAGGGTGGGGAGTTCGGGGCCCTGAAGGGCTTGGTGGCTGGAGGAAGGGAAAGTGGAGACCTGGGGAACTCCCTGCAACTGGACACCAGGCTGGATGGGGAGGTCCGTGGGTCAGGTCTGGTGGGGGCAGAGTCCCAGGCTGGATGGGCCCATTGGTCAGGGCCGGCAGTGGGGGGGGGGGGAGGTTCCCGGGCCGGAGGGGCCCACGGCACTGATATGGAGGGTCCCGGGAAGCTCACCCCAGCAGCAGGGTGCCCAGCAGGGCGCTCAGCGCCAGCCCCACCATCAGCAGCACCACGTTCCTCTTGTGCAGCGAGTCGGGCTCGGCCAGCAGCTCCGAGAGCCCGGGGAGCCGGCCCTCAGCCCCCTGCCCCGCTGGGGACTGCAGGATGGCGCGGAACATGTCCTGCAGCTCTGTCTCTGCCCCCTGGCTGCTGGCAGTCACTGCGGGGAGACAGAACCCAGGAGTCCTGGCTCCCAGCCCCCCGCTGCTCCAACCATTAAACCTCACTCCCCTCTGAGAGCCAGGGAGACAACTCAGGAGTCCTGGCTCCCAGCCCATCTGGGTCTAATCCACCAGACCCCACTCCCCTCCCAGAGCTGGGGATAGAACTCAGGAGTCCTGGCTCCCAGCCCCCCCTGCTCTAACCACTCGACCCCACTCCCCTCCTTACCATTGAGGTAGAAGTAGTTCCGGGCTAGCACGTCGTCCTCCTGGGCTAGCTGGCAGGCGTAGGTGCCACGGTGCGAGCCCCATGTGGGGCGGAGGACGATGGAGGAGCTGGCACCTGGGTGCAGGTCCCGGAAGAGGGAGAGATCTCGGGTCCGGAGCTGGGGGGCAGGGGAGAGCAAATTGAGGGGATGACAGGGAGAGGGGGGGCAGGCGTCAGGGGAATCGAACTCAGGACCGTGGGCAGAGCAAGGGGGCTGGGCTGACTCAAAGGCTGCCACT